GTTACAGTAGCGCACATTTTAGTGCACTGAAGTGCGTCGAGTTGCACCACGAAAATTGCGTCACTCGTGATTTTTACGCGTTTCACCTCGCGAAATGGGTTGAGTTGAATGTATATGCCCCCATTGAGTAAACTGTAATAAAGGAGAGCAGAATTATCCATGGGCACGAGTGCGGTCAGCAAAAAGGAGATGCAATTCCGATTAATGCCCGCCGCCCCAACTAAGAACAACTGAGTGGCCTCGTCGGAGGGCATCTAGCAAGTAAGGCGGTCCAACTGAGCAGGCGTTAGAACTAGAACTTTGAGCGGCTGTAGCTCGCTCCTCGCTCACTGTGGAGTCGAATAGAGTGGGACAGTCTCTAGCTTGGGGGCTGTACTACTTGCACAAGGAAGGACGACCATGTACTACTCGAGCGCGGGGGCTGTCTTTAATGACAGACACCTCTGTTGCTACGAGCGCCTATCATGTCTAAGAACACAAACGATCCCTATCTTCCACAACAGCGAGTAACAGCGAATGTCTCTCCCACACAAGCCCATAAATTGTTCATAAGAAATCGGCTGGCCAAAAATGAGGAAAACGAATATAAAATGGACTCTAGTCCACTCTAAGAAGAGGACCCTCTAAGGATTTCTGTTTAAAAAAATCGAGCAGCGATACGAGCGATATGATAAAGTACAAAATGGTAGCATTCTCATTTTGTATGGTCATGGACATTGGGGCAGTTTTCAAGAGGGTCTTCTCGAATGTTCGTGATTAGTAAATCTTCGCATTTATTCCTTTCATTTTATAAACCACTAACTTTGTGTGTCGGTTTGAAAGAATCACCACATATATCATATATTCGCCCTTCGTCTGTTTTGTTTGTTAAGTTTGTTGTAAGTTTGTTTGTAAGTTGTAAGTTTGTTTGTAAGTTTGTTTGTAAGTTTGTTTTGTCTGTCCGGAAATTCGGTTCGACCTGAAGAACGACTTGGAGAGGTCGGGTCAAGGTGGGGATGGGTAGGGCATGGGACAAGAAATAAAAAGCACACTTGACCTATGCGGAAAGCCGCCCACAGTGGCGGGGCACTCACGAAATATGGGGTTCCCAACAGAAAAATGCATAATTCGCTTCCGAGCACCAAGATGGAAAAAAGGGAAAAGGTTAGTGAGAGATCGCCAGACCAAATACGTGCCAAGCACCTCCAAAAGGCGGGCGCTACTCAATTGGCGGTGCATCGCATAAAATCTATTACTATCGTCGCAAGTGTTCAGAAGCCGCAAAAACTCAGTGCAGGAATATAAATATATCGCAGTATTGCCACGCTCAAAAATGTGTGAGATCCGCCTAAAGTGGCGAGCTTGCCCCTAAAATCCGCATGATGCTCATTTTAAAAGTGTAAGCTCGTTTCAGAGCACTGAAAAACCCGAGACAACGTGCATCAAGAACGAAAGTTTCGGCCGGAGGACTGTGGGCCAACACACATTGTGGGCGGGCGGGTCCGGTATGGGCGGAGTCAGACGAAAAATCTGTAAAACAGTTCCAGAGCACTCCAGACACGGGAAAAAGTGGATTAAGGTCAGCAAAGGGTTCGCTTGAAAATGGGTATAATATTTGGCGGGGCCAGCTCCGTGGCGGGTAGTGGGCGAGCGCAGACGAAAATTCTCTAAAACTGTCCCAGAGACTCCGAAGAACGAAAAAAGTGGATTAAGGTCAGCAGAGGGTCGCCAGTGAGGACTGTGACAAAAATTGGGGGCGGAGCCTGCTTCGAAGTGGGCGGAGTCAGACAAAAGATCTGCAGAAACTGTCCCAGAGCACTTCAGACACCGAAAAAAAGTGGATTAAGGTCAGCAGACAGGTCCTCGTACTGAAGAAGTTGGGGCACAAAAATTGTGGGTGGGCGGGCCTGCTCTGAGGTGGGCGGAGTCGGACGAAGAATCTGTAAAATAGCTCAGGCGTACTCAGACACCGGAGAAAAGTGGAGTACAGAACAAAAGGCGGATATCAGTTGAGTCTATAAATATGTAAGAGTAAATACGCGCGGCGAAGCCGCGCCCGCCCGGCGCCGGCCGTCTCCCGAAGACCGCGCCGACGGTCCAGCCGCGAGCGACTCGTGATGTATATGTAGTTCTCTGCGGACGGTTGGGCGTGTCAGTGCGGCTGCGTTTTTCTTCACCAGTTGTTGAAGCGAGCAAGTGACAATGCTGTATCATACCGTTACTCATACCTTCCTACCTTCCTTA